AAAAATAATTAAAAATCGGCAAAGATGGCGGTGTCGAAAAGGTGCTGGTACACTCACTCATTTTAATTCTCTTTTTATTTTTTCTTATTTTTATCGTAGTGTTGATTTTCTTTATTTGATTTTTAATTCACATTTGGTAAAGAATTTGGATGTAGTGCCCAGACAAATGTTGTTTAGTTTATTTTTCTCCATAACATATTTTTGTTTCGGAATTGTTTGAAAATGTTTTTGTTTGTTTTTTTTTTGTTTTTTTTTGTCCGCGTTCGGCCTGAACGGCCGAACGCCTTCCGAAGGGTCCCGTACGTTCGGGCGTTCGGGTTCCGGCGTTCGGCCCGTCCCGAACTCCGGCAACCCTGCATGTGGCATAGTCCCCCCCCCACTTTGGTTCGCCTAATCTGCTTGCACCCGTTCGTTTTATCGAACGGGCAGCAGGGGGGAATGGGTGCTCGTTCAACGGGCAACTTTTTCATTTAGGTATGTTTTTTTTTTTTTTTTTTTTTTTTTTGTCTTTGTTTCTTTTTGTTTTTCTTGTCTTTTTGGTTTTTCTTTGGTTCCCCCATTTTGGTTGCACGGTCTGTTTTTAAGAACAAGCTGCATCAGCCACGGCGTGCCTGAACCTGGTTGTGTCTGCGTCCGGGTACAGGCGCGAGGGGCAGGGAAAAAAAAAGACCCCTATTCATCTTGACTCTAGTCTGACCGAAGTGGCCCTTGGGCCGCTTGTTCATTGCTAAGCAACGGGCTGACCCTCACAGAGAAACGAGGGGCCTCAAGAGGGCTAAAAAGAAAAGAGAAAAAAAAAAAAGAAAAAAAAAAAGAAAAGAAGGGAAAAAAAACTAATGGCCACGTACGTGGCCGCGGCCGCGGAAAAGGTGCAACCTCATAAAGTTCTAGGGGACGTCGCTGGCTCTCATGGTCGATCGCCTATCTTGCTTTACAGATTTACGTAGGAGTTGGTTCACGGGAAAGATGCGAGTCAGAGAGAGGTGACGACCGAGGAGAGGGACGCCCGCCTTGATCGTGAGGAAGAGGCATGCTTGCAGTCTATGTCGAGGTGGGAGGGTAGGGACGCATACGAGTCCAAGCAGCGGAGGTTGAGGGAGTTGGAGACCGGCGCAGTACGGCCCGGTGGTGGTCCACAGATGGAGAGTGGTGGACCGGCCGCAGATGAGGGAGAGGCCGCAGACGTCGAAGGCATGCTTCATCGTGAGGAGACAGCCGAGGAGAGGGACGCCCATCTTGATTGTGAGGAGGCACGCTTGCAGTCTATGCCGAGGTGGGAGGGTAGGGAGGCATACGAGTCCGAGCAGCGGAGGTTGAGGGAGTTGGAGACCGCCGCAGTACGGCCCGGTGGTGGTTCACCAATGGAGAGTGGTGGACCGACCGTTGGTGTGGCGACTCTGGCGAGCGATCATGCTGTGGAGGGGGAGCACGCACCCGACAATGGGGGTGGCACTGATGGTCGGCCTATTGGAGATGACGGCGATCAAAACACAGGAGATGATAGATCGGACGTCGGGGACGAGGGAGAGGCTGCAGACATCGGAGGATTCATTGACAGAGTGATCGTTGGCATTTGCGCAGGGGATATGGAGGGGGGTACGCCTGGAGCCCATGGTACTTCGCAGGTGGGAGATGTGGCTATGGAGGAGGCAGGTTTGTGCACTGACCGTCAGGGCAGTGACACTGGTGCAGGATACAGTCCTGTCATAGAGGGTGTTGTCGGCGTTGACGAGGAGGCACAATTGTCCCCAACGCGGGATGCAGCGGGAGACATGTCCCTCGCATTGATTGTGAGGCCTCCGTCAGCTTTTTACGCTGATGAGGGCGACAGAGGTCGCCGGTTGGACGAGAGGCTGGGGGAGTCCACCCTACGTGCTCTCGATCCAGAGCAGTTGGAGCGTGAGGGGATGGAGGACCCTTATGATCATACTGGTCGGAGGAGCGATCCCCGCCGACCGCCAGATGGTTTCGCGTCGCCTCCAAGGTGGGTGGCCCAGAGCCCTCGATGGTCAAGGTCATCACGCAGAGATGTCAGGGGGGATGAGGCCTCAGACAGACAGCCAACAACTATTTTCTGGGGAGGAGAGAGAGACAGAGATGCACCCACCACGTCCACTGCCGGCAGTCGCATCAGGTAGAGCATTGAGTACAGTGGCATTCGACAGTCGAAGGGCATCAGGTGGCGGGTGGTCGTCCTGCAGACGAGTAACGGACCGTTTGAGGAGGGATTACGACATGGGACAGGGGCTTTTTGCATGAGGAGAGTCAGCGGGGCCAGATATGAAGAACGCGGGCGCTGCAGACGTGGGACGACCCAGTGTGCATACGACAGCACGTATCTTGGGACTGTCAGATAGACAGACGAGGAGGCAGGTGTTCCCTACCCCAGGTGCTGTTGAGGATATATGGCGAGGATTGCCTTATACGTCGGGCGAGGAGGGCGATTTATATATGCCAGTACGGGCGCGGCGTCATAGATCCATTAGTGGACTAGATGCTCAAATTACTGTCGAGCAACAACATTTGGACGAGTTGGTTCGAGAGCGTGAACGGCTGGCCGAGACGGAGGCGCACGAGAGCGAGGCGCGCACGGAGACAGAGCCCATCGACGTTGTTGCGTAGAGGGACAAAGCCAGGAGAGCAGCGACTGCTGCAGCTGCGGCTGCCGCAACAGGGGATCCGCATAATGAGACCCCACACGCAGAGAGAGCGGCACATGGGCGGGGACAGAGTGCACCTCCCGCGAGCAGATCAGGCACGCCTCGTCACGGGACAGGTCGGAAGCGTAGTGGGAGGAGTTAGATATGCCATTTATTTTTGTTTTTTTTATATGTAGCTGATATGCCACGACCCTGTCCGCTGTAGGTGGCGACGTGGCATAGGTGTGTTGTAGGTATGCTATATTTATCTCGGTCTTGTACTGTCGGCAGGTCTTTGTCCACGTGGAGTAGGTCGGAAGAGTTAGATGACGTCACCTTTGTTTGGTTTTTTTGTCTTCTGTTATTTTATCTCACGTTGCCACTCCAGTCTTTATTTTTTTTTATTTGTCTTGACTTGCCCGCAGCTAATACGCCATGAACCTGCCACTTGGTGCAGTCGAGTGGGTATGTTGTATGTTATCTGGGTTTTATACTGTTAGCAGGTTTTTTTCCATTTGGGCCTAGTCACGCAGTTGTTTCATTTGGTGGATGCATTTCGAGGTGGGGTTGTCATGTTATCTGCACTGATGACACTTGGTATTTTTGGTACATTGCCACACGATGGCCTTACCGTGCCACTTGGTTGTTTTGTCTTCATTCACTCGTCTCCCTTTCTATGTGCTTATGAAACCCTCTTTCGCGACGTACCTGAACATGCTCATGTATGGTGGGTGACATTGTTGTGTAACATTGTGTGTTGCTGTGATCCTGTTGTAATAGACACGTCGAACGTCATGTGTCGTACATTTGATGCATGGTCTGATGTTGTTCATGCTTTGCACGATCCAATGCACTAACAGTCTAATACTTGTTTTGTGGGGTGTTTTTTGTTGTCCGTTCGTTGCTAGAAAACACTATTAAACCTCCATTGACCCACCCAAAATTGGACCCACGCACCCATAGACACCCCCCTACCACCCCTCACAACACCCCTGCACCACCCCCAAGGACCCCAACCAACCAAGCCCCCCCCCCTCTCCCTCCCCCCACAAACTGCCACCCACCCTCCCCTGCCCCAATCGCCCCTTTTAAACCGCTTTCTGGGGAAGATCCCCAAACGAAGACTACGATGAAAAAAAAATATTTGTTTGTTCACAGTGGAAGTACACCCCCCCGCCAACACCCTGACACCGGCGAAACTCGGTTTGGGGGGGTCCTTGATTTTTTTTCAACCCCTCCCACACCCCCCTAGCCCCCCGCCCCCCACTTTGAAGTTTTTTCAATTTTTTTCACTGTGGGGGGTTAGAACCTGCCCCCCGCCCTCGAGATCCAGTCCCCGCTCCCCCACACCCCCCCCCCTTGGCCGTGGCGCGATCGTTTTGCCCGCAGTCGCCACGGTCATGACCGCGGGCCGCGGTCGTGCCTGCGGTAACCGCGGCCGCGGGGGATTCATAGTCCCTATCTACTAACTTTATCCTATAACTAACCTTGCAATTAAGTTCGCCCAGGGCCAAAACCCTGGGATCGCCTCTTTCCCTACTCGAATCCGTTCACCAACGAATGACCTATGCTCCATTTTTTTTCCTCCCCCCCCCCGTGCCTCCCGCCATAACTCCGCGCAACCCCCTTTCTCTCCTCCTTCATTCTACATCCCCCATACTACCAATCTGACTCCGCCAATCGATTCGCAGACCCTAAAAACCCCAGAAACGAATCTTCTCTCGCCCGTTTTTATCAAACAACGGGTGAGGTCAACATTTTTTTTCCTCACCTCTTCTCATCCATCGCCATCTCCCGGCGCACTATTTTCTTTACTAACTTCGATTCTACTTACTCTCTTCTAAAACTGACTTCACGATTGAATTCGCCCTGTCTAAAGACCATTACCTCGTCTCTTCCCTCGCTCGATTTCATCGAGAGTCGAGCGAGTTCTCTGTTTTTCCTGTCTCCCATAACCGAATCCCCTCCATCTCCACTCCGAATGCATCAGATGCGAAACGCATCCAGATTCTTTTCTTCATTTTCCACTCGCTATCTTTGTTATTCCTCCTTTGGTCCAACTGCGCTCTTCTGCGTTAACTTTCTCCCCTTACCTTCTCTCGAGCTTCCTCGTGTCTCTCCTTGTTGCCTCTCTCGCTCTCCCTAATGCCTTACGTTCCAAATACACCCGGTCCAATTCCTTGTTCGGTTCATTCCCTTCATTTCTCTCCTTACTGATCTCCTTTCCCCGCCCCTACTAACTATGTTCGGCTCCGCCGCACAGCACAGCCAACCGCTCTCGACTCCCTGGCCTTTCACTTGCTGCCCTCCGAACTCCCTTGCTTTGCACGGCTCACTGCTCTTGACTCCCATTCCACTAGCGCCTGCAGCCGACCGGTCCGCAGCTCTTGGTCTTTGAACGGGAACCGGTTTCAGTAGTAAACTGCTACTAGATGGTCCGATTAAACTTTCGTCCCTGCACCCGAGTCCGATGGACAGACTATGCAGCACGCAGGAAATCTCAGCCCCGGTACCCCAGGCCCACTTTGCGTATTGTGCCCTTCCTTGGCTTCCTTGACGCCGTCCCACAGGCACTCCCAGACCTTTCTCTGGGCTGTCCTACAGACGTTCCCTAACTCGCGACGAAGCGTACAGCGTAAGCCTCGATAAGGCGGGCCCAAACGCAGATTTTGGTGGTAGTAGCAAACATTCAAATGGGAACTTTGGGGACTGAACCTAAAGAGGGGTTCAACGTAAATCAGCCGTCCATTTGCGGCTTCCGCGTGGTATTTTATGAACCGATACAGTTCACCATCCATCGGGTCTCACGGGCATACCCACACTCACCTTTCTTAACAAATTCTCGGTTCGCGGACGGCGGCCCACAAAAGGGCTCCCGCCACTCAAACTCCCTTCGTCTCGTGGGCCGATCGCCCACGGGCTCGCTTGCACGTTTATCTCCTTGGTCCGCCGTTTCAAGATATGTGAAATAGAGAAATTTCGCCGGCATCCCGAAGACGTAAGAACCCGTAGGTCAACCAAAGGAGGCACGCTCTCACAGTCCTTGACTGACATGACGGCCTCTAGCCCCGATGTTGTCGTTTTGAATAAAAAATTGCCAGAGCATAAACAGATAGTAATAATAAGACAAATAAATAATAAAATTAGACCCACATGCGAATCGACGCACTAGGGGGCTGCAGTCCCAAGCGCGACTCATCGTCGGTCGACTATGGCACATCCCACTTACCACGCGTTATACCACACTTAAAAAGTAAAAATAGAACATACACACCCACACACTAAACGACACAAAATAGAATAACACGAGCAATATTAGTCCCTTCAGAAGCCATCTCATAACCTTCTAACGCAAAAAATCGGATAGGCGTCGAGCGCGAGACTTAGTATAAAACCGTGCAGACGCAGGGCTGATTCATATCGACTAGCAATGCAAGCGTACGCAAACAGTCACACTATTGACGTACTATGTATGCGGTCCTCGTTAATCTCGAGGGTCGCATTTGACACTGAAGTGTCGATCGACACGCGCCTTGAGGGGTTAATTTCTCGATGCTAGACAACCACCAAGTGCGGTTGAGAACCACATCCTCTTCTGCACCCCGTGGAGAGTGGGTGGTACACAAGTTCATATGTGTGGTGACAATCATCTCTTATTGCCCTCGAGACCAGCTCCATCATCCAGGGCCTGGGGAGAACTCAAGGGGTTTGACTTTGACGGGTGCCCCGGACTACAACGTCCAACTATACAAACCTCTAAAAAACAAAGGATAAAAGGGGATCTCCCTTTTCTCTCAACGCATAGTCTGTTCAGCCCTTGCGCACGATCATAACAGGCCACACGAGTACTCAAGGCATATGTATGTATGTATATATATATATATATATATATATATATATATATATATATATATATACAGGGTCACTAGCCCGTACGTACGGAGGTCCCCGGGCAGACCTCAGTACGTACGGGCGTTCGGGGTCCTGTACGGGATCCGAACCCGACGATGTTCGGCCCCCGCCAAAAATTATTTCGGGGCCTAAAAATAATTAATTTTTTCTGAATTTTTTTTGTGAGTTCTCTATGACGTGAGGTACATGCCTGTAAATTTTCAAGTCATTTAACTAAGCCAAATAAGAATTAAAAATCGCCAAGGATGGCGGTGTCAAAACGTGCTCGCCCAAGTATTTTTTTCACTTTTTACTTTTTGTTTTCACTTTAGTTCGGGGTCTAAAAAATTTTATTATTTTTTGAAACTTTTTTAGTGTGTTTTGCATTATGTGAAGTACACATCTGTAAATTTTCAGGGCATTTAGCTATGCCAAAACAAAATGAAAAATCGCCAAAGATGGTGGTGTCGAAAACATGCTCGCGCACTCACTAAATTTAATTCTCTTTTTATTTTTATTTACTTTTATTATTAGTATTTATTTTCCATATTTTATTTTATTTTTTCAAATTTGGTAAGTAATTCGGATGTAAGGCTCAGGCAAATCTTGTTTAATTTATTTTGCTCCATAACATATCTTTTTTTGATGATTTTTTTGATGATTTTTTTTTTTTGTTTTTCTAGGGTCCGCAT